GACTAATCATTCCAGCTTTAATACATTATGTAAATAACAACAACAACAACAACAACAACAACAGGTGAAAGTCAAACTCCAAACTCCAAATTTAAACATAAAACTTTAAGAAATGTCTCGACATAGCAGCTTATCTCTACGCAAACACAGACACAGCAGCATGGGAGGGTACTGTATGTCAATAACCAGGTTGTCCCGCCTCAGTCTTATTGGTATAAAGTCAAACTGCAGCTAGGACAGATCTCAAACACAAAAAGGCCTCCTGTTCAGAATCTGAGGACAGAACAAAGCCGGTCTTTATCCCAGCTCATGGTTCCCCTCAACCAGCCCACCTCACTTCCCTTCATCCCCCCTTTCCTCTGCCACCGCCGGCCTTCCACAAAATGTCTCTACATGGCTCTCATTTATTCTCTCTCTCTCTCTCTCTCTCTCTCTCTCTCTCTCTCTCTCTCTCTCCTTCTTCAACCCTATAGGGGCCAGTTGGAGCTTCTGGAGCTAAAGGAGACATGGTAAATATTTCTAAGTTCAAGCTGGTCAAGCTTAAATATGATCTTCACTGAATTTCTTTATAGTCTTTGTCCATCACCCCAAGTGAATTAAGATGTGTTATAGTCAGCTAACATTGTTCAAACAAGGAGAAAACAAAACTGGAGTTGTGAGATTGAGTCAAATAATTCAGATCTGATGTTGTCTCCCTAGGGTGTGGCAGGAAGTGATGGTTTACCAGGAGAAAATGGAGAACCTGTGAGTATTTTCTACATTTTCACTGTTTGATCAGGATCCAAACACAAACACAGCATTAGTGATTCTAGAGAATCATTACTCCATTAGCAGTAATTAGTTACAAATTGATTCAGGACTCTGCTCTGAAGGAGAAAACACATTAAACCTATTTTACATTGGTTGCATGTCAGTTTTTATATAGATTTTAACATTTTATTGTTTATAAACACATTTATTGTCCTGCCCCAGCCTATTTGGCCTCAGGAAGTGCAGGACAAAAACTTCTGATGTGGCAGCTTTTAGTTCGTATGCTCCGAGTCGTCGAAAGACTCTGAGAGCAGCTGAAATTATTGATATCTTTAAACTTAAAAAGTAAAACCTACCTTTTTTCAGTCTGTAATGTTTTCTTGCCAGTTTTAATCTTATTTGATTATTTATTTTGTTGTACTTATGTTTTCTATTTTATTTTTTATTGTCTACTTTATTAGTTTTAATATATCACCTTTATTTTGTCTTTGAATCTTACCAGGCAATAACCTGTATGAAAGGTGCTGAACAAATACATCTTTGTAATGTCAAATCATGGTTTTCACTTATGTTAATGTCCTTTTTTTCAGGGTCCTTTTGGCCCAGTTGGACAAAAAGGACAGGTGAGCTACATTAATGTTTTCATTTGTATGTCCTCATACCTCTCCTTGACCCCGCTTCCTCCGAACCAGTTTTCTACTTACAGTATATGTCCGTTTATTAACACAAAACATAGTAAGATCAGATGGTGTGTGTGGGTGTAATTAGCCAGCACAAGTTTATTCCAAACTCCCTCACTGAGCATTAAAAACTGGTGCCTCTCTCTCAGCTCCGAGCTGTTGCCCACTTGTCAGACTCATTGCACATGATTCTGCTTCACATTCCAGGTTTAATAGGATTAATTAGAGATAGGTATTGCTGCTTTTGCTTTATTGGCCTGTTCGCTGCTAACGCCACGAGGGAGAGACGAGCCACATTAAGCTGCAGCAGAATTTATGTAATTAGAGACGCGGTACTGATGAGTCTCACTCTCGTAGTCTCATTTACTGTTTGCTGTGCTTGTTGGAGTAATTATCAAGCAACAAGACGCCATATGAATCCGCCCCCGCATTGTCTCAACAGACCCAGTTTGCTCCTTGGTTGGTGTTTAGTCAACGATCAAATCAGAGGCTTTTGGATGCTTTTAGCTCCAGTTTGGAAGAAATTGATTTCTTCATTTTTTGAAAAATATAATGAGTTGTTTCACGGTTAATCCTCGTTGATTATAGCCAGGGAAGCGGGGTGAACTGGGACCTAAAGGCGTGACAGGTCCACAAGGAGAGCTTGGGGCAAGAGGACCCCCAGGAAAACAAGGACCAATGGGCTTCCAAGGGGAGCAGGGTCATCCTGGAATTTCAGGAAAGACAGGCGTACCCGTAAGTGTTTTTTATCTGTACAAAACTATAAAAAATCTTGTAATTGATGGAAGCATATTATAAATGTTGCTGTTTTCAGTTAACTGCCTGAATCAGCTTACATGTATGTCTTATTTACTTGTGTTTCAGGGTAAACTGTCAAGTGAACAGCACATCAGAGAGCTTTGTGGCTCAATGATCGATGGTGAGAAAACTTAATTTATCTTTGTCTGCAATTCATTTTTCACAGTTTCGAATAAAAAGTGAGCAGCGCGTTGACATTCTTGTGTTTTCTATCACGTGCAGATCAGATAGCACAGCTGGCCGCTAACCTTCGAAGACCCCTGGCCCCTGGGATGGTGGGCCGCCCCGGCCCTTCTGGGGTTCCAGGAAAGCCAGGAGTTGCTGGCTCTATTGGGCATCCAGGTTCCCGTGGACCACCAGGGTACAGAGGCCTTTCAGGAGAGCTCGGAGACCCCGGTCCCAGAGGTATGAAAAATGAAATCAGTTCAGACTTTTGATCTATTGTTTAGAACACAAAAATCACTTGATCAATAACTCTTTAGTTGGACAATGAGATGATCTAATTAAATAAAAAGTCAGTGGTGGAAGTAAAGATTCTTTACTTAAATAAAAGTACCAATGAAAAAATACTCTTATTACAAGTAAAAGCCTTGTATTTAAAATCCTACACTACATCAGCAAATTGTACTTAAAATATCAAAGGTAAAAGTACTTATTCTGGTTCCTGTGACTGACATATTATATATGATATTATTATCTCTGGGCCTTTGGGCCTCTAACAGTTACTTAAATGAAACCTTCTCATAAGTTTAGAGGGAGAATCACTGTTTGGTGGAAGTCACAGACATCTGAAACATAAGAAAGCACTACAACTACACACTGCTGTTCTATAAGGAATCACTGGTTTAATTTTAGAGTATTGTATTTTGTAAGCTTATATTTTTTAATGTCAAATAAATGTAGTATAATAAAAAAAGTACAATCTCTTTCTAAAGTGGAGTGGAGTAGAAGATTAAGTACCCTTAAAATAGAAATACTCAATTTAAGTAGTAAAGCATAGTACTTGAGTAAATGCACTTTGCACCATTGATTAAGCTTTCTGTTTTCACAACAGGTGATGTTGGTGAGCAAGGTGATAAGGGAACCACTGGCAAAGCTATTGATGGGCCCCCTGGAGACCAAGGATACCAAGGTATGCAGCTTTAAGGAGACACTGTAATTAGAGCTTAGGCAGATCACAGCAAGAACGTTGTCCCCTACCCATTTACTACACTGTTCTAATACACCTTACTCATTTTTTTTAACTTGTCAAACACATATATACCTAATATGATTAACGTCATAGACACACGTAAATTATTTACTGGGACAAATGTAATGGAGCCACTATGAATGTTATTAGTTACACTTGCTTTGTCTGAGAAGTCTATTGTGGTATAATCTCACAGATATCTCATACGTCTTTTACAAAACAATTAAAAGAACAGCTTTGCTACAGCTACTTTGTTTTTGACTCATTCTGTCCACAGGTCTCCCAGGTGTACCTGGAATTGTCAAAGATGGGCGTGATGGATCTCCAGGAGATCCAGGTGAGCCTGGAGAGTCAGGCAGGGTAGGTAGGACTGGGCACCAGGGACCTCCTGGAATCTGTGATACATCAGCCTGCCAGGGAGCATCAATCGCTGGAAAATCCTCCAATCCCAAAAATCATTAAACTTCCTACAACCTGACGCCATCCAACCCTAGGAGGAAGGCTGATAAGTGAGGGAAGGAAGGAATGAAAGAAGAGAGTGATCACAAAAAATGTCCTCTTTATTTAAATATGTGTATCACAAGATGGGAAGAGTAACATCAACAGGTGTGATATTTTGAGAGGAACAGAGGAACATCCGAGGATTGACATGAATACCAGAGCAACTGAGTGACAAAAACATCCAAGATGACATCCAGAAAATAAAGTGGACAGAGGCAGAGAAGAGTCCAAGAGAACAACCGCATTGCTCCAAATACTACAGTATCACATAACAAGACTTGACTTACAAACAACTGGAAAATGAATGATGAGTCCATTGTGTATAAAAACTTTGTACATGTTGTTTCCATGCCCCCCATTACCTTTGTTAACATCCTTCTGGCAGATGACACTCTAAAAACAACAGTGACTGTCTCTGAGGTGAATGTGTATGTATCGTGGCCCATTAATGTAAATCACAGGTGTTACCTCAACATACAGGCTTACAGTGTAAAATATGGAAATAGGCGTCAGAGGGGGGGAAAAGCCTCTGTCAAGGAGCTGTGTATGTATTGTAAAAGGAATAAAAAACACAAATACCCAGGTGCCCAGAAATTGTGTAGATTAATGCAAAAGATTTAAAAACTTTTTTGATAGTCTTTTTTACAGCTTGTTTTTCGTTTTTTGTTTTTAATTTCATTTGAAGTTGGTTCTCTACATTTGAGAGTCAAAAACAAAATAAAACTTGTGGATGCATAAATCAGTCATTGTAAAAATCAATTTAAGAATATTAGAAGCAAAGTCAATTTTATTTTTATTTTTTATTTTGTTTTTACATCTGCAATGACCACATCCACTATGTACTACCGGTGCTGTAACTATTAAATATACATGACCTTAAATACTATTTATTATTTGTGGGTGACTGTTGTATGTACAGTAAGATGCTACAGCGACATGTTGTAAGAAAGAACAAATAAAGCCACTTTTCAGTAAAACATTACTCTTCTCTACATATCAAATGAACAGTCTGTACTTCAGAGTAATATGCTTAACACTATGAAAGTAAAGTAATCCCATTAATTCTCAAAAGTAGCAACACTTATATCGATGTAAAACACTTAAATATGTGATTAAAGAATAAATATTTGTGGACAATAAAACTGAACAATATACTGTATGAACAAAGTTTAACAAAAGTAAGAAAAAAAACAACAAAATCAAGCATATAAAAGATGCACATTAATGAAAATTTGCTTCATGTATGATAGCTGAAGAGCTGAAATCTAATCGTAAGAGCATTCTCTTGTTTTTCAAAGAGAAACAGTGCCCCCTATGTATGACTTTATGAAAATCCCTGTATACAAATGTCTGTCGAGGGGGAGAAAATGTATCAGCGGAAACGCCAGGACAGTTCAAACATTGGCTTGATACAGTAAGGTCTTTAGATGCAGCTGGAGAAAACCACTTTTGAGCAACGCACGGCCTCAGACTGAAAACCTTGCCCTTTCTATATCACTGTAAAGGAGTCAGGATCAGAGCTCCCCTCAAAAGGACGCTTTTTTTGGCCATTTTAAAATGTTACAACACGTCAGCCAAACTCACAACCAGACCTCATGGGACAACCCAAGTGACTAAAATGTACTAAAATATCTGGCTGAGTTATTTGATAAAACAGTGAGGGGGTCATTGCTCTACACTGAGAGGAATGCTCAGTGTCTCGTCCATCTCCCGGTGGATTGGGTCTTCGCTTAAAGAAGAGCCAGATTTAAGAAAGAGTCCTTTCTCAACAGCGAATGCCTTCTGAAACTCCTGTAAAGCAGGAATAGCACATTACTGTGGTTAATGACAGATAATACCAGTCTGTGTCTAATTGTCTTAATTTGCTGCCATGTATTTTTTTTTTAACAGAAATCAATTTCCACAGACTGCAAATCTACAACACTAGATGAGATGGATGCACCGCAGTAAAATGATAAAGTTTATTTGATTTTAGACTGTAAAAGTAAAACAAATTTATTTGACTTGAACATTTCTTAATAACAAAAGTCATATAAAGTCAGCTGTGGTACTTATTACTCAGGCAGCAAGAGGGAATCTAATTAAGCTCTCATCTTCCAGCTCCAGGTTTCTAGTCTCAAATAATTCAGTTGCAGGGTGATGAAACCAAATGCTTTTCATCAATAACTCCAAGATTAAACCACACAAATGTACCTCTTTGAAGGTGTCTCCATATGTTTTATTGATGTATCTGAGGAAGGCCGTGGTCCACTGCAGGGTGGTGACTTTGTCTGTATCTGACTCACAGAATGGCACCAGCATGTTCAGCTCATCACAGCACGAACGAATCCTCTTCCTGCACAACAGCAGAGATGATACAGATGTTTAAAATCAGTGTTTCTCAAACTTTACTAACCTGTGACCCTGTTCTTTGAGCCTAAAGTCTCATATCCCAGTTGATTGGCTTATAGAAGACACTGTGATCTATTTGGGAACCTGGAGCCATTTTTGCTTGGAAAATTACTTAACTGATAAACAGATTATTTGCAGACTCATTTTCTCATCAATTAATAATCAACTATATGTTTCAGCGCTTATGTTATACCCTCAAAAATTCCCACTATGTTAAATTTAAAATTTTTTTATTTTAAAAAAAATATTAAATTTTTTTTAAATTATTTATTTTAAATTAATAAATAATTATTTATTTAAAAATTTTTTATTATTTTTTATATATTTATTTTTAATAATATTTTTATTTTTTTTTTTTTTTTTTTTTTTTTTTATAATTAAAACAATTACTAAAATCCTCCTCCCACTTTTTTTTTTTTTTTTTTTTTTTTTTTTTTTTTTTTTTTTTTTGTTTGGGGGGGGGGGAAAAAAAAAAATATTTTTTTTTTATTTTTTTTTTTTTTTTTTTTTTTAAAAAATTTATTTTTTTTTTTTTTTTTATAATAAAAAAAGAAAAAAAAAAAAAAAAAAAAATTTTTTTTTAAAAAAATTTTTTTTTTTATTTTTTTTTATTTTTATTATTATTATTTTTTTTTTTTTTTTTTGTGGTTAAAAATTTGTTTTTTTTTTTCCTTTTTTTTTTCCTCTTTTTCCAAAAAACAAAAATCTGATTTTTAAAGGAGGAAATAGTGTACAGTCAGTGAACGAGGGAGTAGTAGTGACATAAGCTAGGCACAAACACTTAACAATGTTACTAACATTACAACACAACCCAAGGTAATATGACCAAGAAGAGGCCCCATCAAACTGTGACTAAAACATACAATAATATTTACATTATTAGTCACATATTGTGGAGGGTGCGCAGATACCTTCAGCTGTTAGTAATGGCTGCTCACCTGCGTTCCCTCTCCTTACTGTTGTGTCTCTCCCGCCGCTGGCTGAGTGACATGTGAGATCGAGCTCTTTTCCTGGTGCTGCTGGCTGATTCTCCAGCGGAGTCTCGGGCTGCCTTGATGGTTTGCGAGCTGTGAGTACCAGCATGTTTCCTGGAGGCAGCAGCAGGGGTCGCCACATCGTCTATGAAAAAGATGAGCGTGAACAAGACACAAACATAACCCTTCATGTATCCGCAGTGTAGTACAGGAGATGACAACATAACTCAACTTTAGAAATAAGATTGTTTAGAGTGCTGATTATTACTTTCTATGTTCACCAAGTGCTGCTCCTCTGTTGGGTTGCCGCCATTTGTATAGTGAGTTTTTGTAACAACCCTCTCCGGGCAGAAGTTAAACGAAAAACTCTTGGGGATGATTAAACCTTGATGCTTAGGTTCAACCATGTGAGGAATATGGCCAATCACCTGTGATTAAAACAGGAGAAGAAAAAGTTAAATAATAAATTCCATCTATGTCTCCTACAAAGCTGTAAGAAAGTGCATTTAGATTATTTTCTTTCAGCATACTTGTTCACACATGTTGGTGACTGGGTTAAATACCGGTACACCCCCTACAAACGGGCTGGAAACCTCAAAAGGATTTGCTCTTTCAGTTTTCATCCACTTCTGCATTTGGGGATGCATGGCGGCCTCTTGAGCCTCAGCAGACTGCTGAAGCATCGTCAAAAAACTGAAACACAACAGAGATTTCATTACAAATGTGTACATCAGGAGCATTATGGGGATACTAGATAGCAATACAGTGTATTAGTGACACCTACTTGCTAAGAACGGCAGACTGAATATCGTGCTGTCTTGGGGCGTCTGAAGGCATAGTGTTAAACCTTTTCTCCAAGCAAACTCTGGCAGCTGATCTGGATCGCTTTTGTGAAGATACGCTGCTGTTGGTTCGTGATTCAGTGGGACTGTCCTCGCCTCTGACCCTGGCCAGCACAAAACCCGGGACCTCTCCATAAGAAGCTGGCGTCTTCTCCCCTGGCATCACCAGACAGTGTTCATCCGTGGAAGTCGACAGATCAATAGCTTGGGTGGTTGTGAAGGGAGATATCATTGTGGATCCAGTGGTGTCTTTAACCATCACTGTAGCAGGGTGGGATCTGGCATCTGGCCCATCTGGAGGTGCGGTCTCCATTTGGGCCTGGATGAGGTGCTGGAGGTGCGTGTACTCGACCTCTGACATCTCCATCATACCAAGCTCGGTTCCCAACATCTGCCCCTGTTCGTGTGCTGAACATGCACCTTGGCTGAAAATCACCCCAACACACTCACAGGTGTGTTCTTTGAACGAAGGTGAAACGTGGATGGCTTTACAAGCTGAGGAAAACGATGACATGCTTCACTCTAGAGACGGGATACAGATAATAAAAAGATATGTCTATACAATGCCACCAGAACAGAGCATGTAGCCTCAGCACATGTTAACCTCTACGTTAGCTAACTGCTGCGTCACTGCGCGAGTGTTCACATTATTAAAAAATTAACATCTCTAAATTATTTATTTTATTATTTTTTTTCAACTTAGCCAAAACAAACTAACACAATTAAACAATTTATACACAATTCCTAAGATATTCGCGGTTTAGAAATAGTCCGTAATTACAAAAGCTAGCTCGTGAATTTAGCGAACGAGGAACTTTAAGCTAACGAGGAGAGCAGACGTTGGTCGTACGTTAACGTCAAAATGTGGATTAAAAACAACTTCAACCGATAAGTTATTATTATTAACGCCACAACATTTTCTGCAGTCAATTATTAAGTCGTCTAATATTTAAAGGGTGGACATTAAATAAGCTGCGGTAATAATTAAGCTCTCTTTATGGGCCTTACTGTTCTCATGTAACGTTAAACTCCGTGGACCGTCGGTAGTAACGGACGTTGTCGTTCAACTCCCGGACGTCGTTTTCACTCTTCTGGCCCTCACAGCTGAAGGATTACTCAAATGTCAAATTTTATTTTGTACAGACAAAAAATAGACCGAAACAATATCCGAAATGTCATAAACAACCTTTTTTATGTACTTTTACTCATGTACTTTACTAAAGGAAGAGTTAAAATGCTGGTGTGTTATTTTCTAGTTTCATTAGATGTAGTTGTCTTCACTACATTTCAGATGGCAATATTGAACTTTAATCCATATATTATATAAATAAATATTATTCAGTGTTGTAAACAGTGGTGGAAAGTACTATATGAATTTCCCCAAGGGGATAAATAAAGTTATTATACATTATATTGTGATTACTGTTATTATTAGTACTGAACACTACAAATTTGAGTTAGGCTACTTATACTTTACTCGAGAAGGCAATTTCTTACTTACTAATTACTTTTAAGAGGTAAGATAGATATAAAATATATTAATCTCCCCCATCAGAATCAGCTCCAACTCATCAACTACTACAAGAAAATGTTAATTACACATGAATTCATCCGTAATAATACAAAAAACAATAATAAAACACTCATGGGGGTTTACAGCATTATGCATACTATGAGTATTACTTACTCTTCATAATAATATTATAATAATATTTACTTGCTGATAACACTTCTGCAATTTTACCTAAGCAATATTTTATTGGGGACTTTTACTTGTATTGCTTTAATTTAGGTAGAAGATCTAAATTATTTATCTACCCCTGGTTTTAACACTATCCAACATTACATGAAGTAGTTTTGCTTAGCTATAATACTGTAATAAGCTATAATATGAGCTATAATAATATTTATTACAGTGTTTTTACATTGAGGCTGCTAATTACTTCTTCCACTACTTTTAAAAAGTATTAGATGGAAGGTTTTTACACATCAAAATATGTTTGCAAATATCCCAACAACCTGCAGAAGCTTAGGCTGTCCGCTGAATATGACAAGACTAGTAAACAACTATTAAAGGGTTGTTCCATAGTTTTCCCACCATTGTGATTGTCATGACAGTGAGGATGGAAAAGAACAGCTGGCTTCATGTATGGCTGTGTGGGGTGATGGAGTTGAATCTAGTAAGAATATAAAACATCCCATGATAAGGTCAGCAATCAGGGTCATGGCTGGGTTCAGGTCACACTATCATTGATGTGTATCTACAGGTGAGACTACATTAGACCAGGCCAATCAATATGTGATTTTTCTTTTTGTTAATATTACATATTGACTACTTTCAGCATTAGTAGGAATCACCTGTGGTTTATATTCCTTATTAATATGATAAATACATATGATTAATAAGAAAAATCTAAAATAATAATGAATGTTAATAACTTTGCAGCACTGGACCGAACTGATAACAGTACATTATTTTTATCTCCTTTCTGGCAAGTCTGGCAGTTAAGTTATAGTGACAATCTGTAACAACACTACATAATTTGTGGTTAAGATACTATTTACTGCAGTTAAATAAAATCTTTGTACAACTATACCCACTTAAGTAGTAATATGACAATGTAATATAATCTATTACAAGTGAAAGTAAAGCATTCAGCATTTTACAGTAAATGTATACGTATTATCATATTATATATGATATAATTATATTGTTAATACTGATGCATCAATGTGTAAGTAGACTTTTATTGTTGTAGCTAGTTGAGGTTACTACTACTTCTGTTAGGTAGTTTAGTCCAGCTCCCTCCAAATGGTCACAAGATAAATGTGAGGGGTTGTGATAATTATTGGGAGAGAAGAAAAAGTTTTGTAACACAAATATGAATTTGTTTTATATACTTTTTTTTAAAAAAAATCTTTTTTTGGATAATTTTTACCTCATGTGACTGACATATACGACATTATTAGTTTTGGGCCTTTGGGCCTTGAAAAGTTAAATTTAAGTGAAACCAACTGAGAAATTTGGTGAAACTGCTAACAACTCAAAGATTATCTGATACTTGACTACACTTTTGTAAGGAGTCAGAAAATTGGAAATCTCAGGTTTAATCTTAAACAATATGTTGTATTTTATAAGCCTATAATTAGTTTATTTTTTGTAATGTAACCTGTAACTGTCAGATAAATGTAGTGAAGTCAAAGTACAACATTTTCTTCTGAAATGGAGAAAAAGTATAAAGTAACACAATATGTAAATACTCTACTAAACCACTAAAGTACAAGTACCACAACATTATAGTTAAAGATACAGAACTTTAGTATATATCTACTGCTTAGTGAATGTTGTGATGCCTGACTAAGGATTTAAGATTCAACTGACCGTTGTCGCCCCCCTTTGGTAAGACATGAGCTTTGCATGTGGCTGTGAATGATGGACAATATCACTATAGGCAGACTCCGTCCTCCACTAGAATAGCTTTTTTCCCCCAAAGGACTTTCTCTCACTTACCTATTGTCTATCTCTATCTCCTTGTCACAGCAAAAGTCCTTAAGACACCTGAAAACTAATTAAAAGGTAGTGCTTGTAATGTGCAAAATACACTACATTACAGTGAAAACAACACAAGTCACTCCAAAACAAGGCAAACTGTGGCCCTTTCAAGATTAAAGATTTTATGGCCCAACAATTTGTATGATAGACAAGATTAAACAATGTGCCAAAAGAATTTTCCCTGGAATGGGGATTGTGTCAAAAACAGTTAAGCTCTATTCACTCTGGCTGGCACTGTTTTAAACTAGAGCTGGTAAAACCCAACTGAGGCTGGTCAACATTTCTAAAAAGTATTGAGAGTATAGAGGTTCCTATAACAAGTTAACAGCACATTTGTTTTTCTGTCTTACAATACTTACAACAATTTACTCATTTAAAGGTACTAGAGTATTCATATTTTATGTTACTTTATATTTCTACTCCACAACATTTCATAGGCAAATATTGTACTTTTACTCAACTAATTTTTTTAGACCTCTAATGTTAATTAGCAGATTAACATACAGTATATGTACAGTATATGATTAGCTAATAAGATTATATGAATTGTTATAGATTACCTTTCAAACCACAACCAGACCAAACCAATAACACATACACAAGCTTTTTTTCCCTGCATAATCAATGTCTGTACTCATGTTGCGATCAATCTAAATATTGATGACAAACTCAGACTAAACACAAATTAAAAAAGGTATGTCATTTTATTGACTTCTTGCATTCTAAAAGAACAATGAAACAAGCCATTTTTTAATCAGCATAAGAACATAAAAGCCAGACAAAGGCTACCGTACTGACACTATGGCTATGTTAAAAAACAATGAAACAAAAAGAAATGTACATTTTCAGTACAAAACATGTCTACTAGACTTATTTCAGACTACAAATACACATCAAGTAGCTGAATTTACCAGTGATCAGTTAAGAGGCATGTTGTCATAATCAAATAACAAAAATAAACACATCTACTTTGAATACATTAAGACAAACTAAAACATAATGAACTCAAATACCTCTGAGCATATCAAGCCATGTCTGATCTTTCATAATGCCTTGCCTGTAGGTCGTGTTGAAATTTAAATAAAACATAAACAGTCACTTCCCAGTGTGTGTTAATGTGCATTATGCTGTAATATCTTAATCCAATGAGACAATATTAAGCATTTTAGTAGTTCATCAGCCTAACTGAGTAGGGTTTATGAATGAGTCTAACTTGGCTTGACATCACTGTCCATACTTTGATTGTTTTTAGTTTCCTTGGCCTCTTCCTTTTTTTCTTCTGCACCCCTTGTACCTGCATCTAAAGATATGCTTAGACTTTTCTCCTGCTCCGGTCTTTGCTCTTTGACCAATTCTTTTTCTCGACTAAATGATCTACCTCTACTCCACTCCCTATCTGTTGGGTGACCTTTTTGTTTTCGTTTTGGACTGAAGACATCAGGATTGTTGATCACACGATTTGGAAAGCGTATAAGACCTTCTGTTGGAGTGGGAAGTAAGGCAGCTCTGTGTCTCTGAGGTTTTACTGCTTGTTGATTTTGGAGTTTGTTAAAACCAGGACATGAGTTTCCTCCACTGCTTTGAGCTGGACCTAGGGGCCCACTGTTCGGTGCAGAATGTGGATCACAAGGGCCTTGGAATCTGGCAACCTGATGAGGACTATTGAAGTTATGTGATGCTGGCTCTGATCCCCTTGAGTCTAACCCTAGGCCCTCAGTGTTTGTATCCCACCCCCCTGGCCCATGTCTTATATCTGAGCTCTCAGGGGCTGAGCCCATCATATGCGTTTTATCCAGCCCTAACCTTCTCATGTCTGGACCTCTCCTTTCCCTCCCAAAATCATGCTCAAATCCATGTCTATCTGTTTCTGGGTTTTCCATGTCCACACCTTGCTTTTCAGATCCTAGCTCCCCACAATCTGAAAACCTCCCATCAGTCCCTGGACCTTCCATGTTTGGATGTCTATTTTCAGGTCCTGGGCGTCTATGATCTGGACCTCCTCTTCTATCAAGACCTTCCATCTCAAACCCTCTTCTGTTAGGGCATGAATTCATGTCTGGACCTCCCCAATGAGCCCTAGGCCCTTCCATGTTTGGCCCTCCCATATTACCCCTGAAGTTTGGCTGCCTCCAATCATTCCCCATATCTGGTCCTGGTCCTCTCATACCTGGACTTCTTTTGTCATGGCCTTGTCCTCTTTTGTCTTGATCTCTTTCCCTTCTAAAAAACGGAGCTGGCCCCCGTCTGTTTGGCCCAGCACCCTTTCTATCAGACTCTCTCCAGTCATTTCCAGGTCCCCCCCTACCAGGCACTGGGCATGCCATATCTGAGTCATCCTGAACAGGCCCTGGACCCATGAAATCAGAACCACTCCAATCATCTCCTGTACCTCTCAAATGTCCTGGGCTTTCTTGGATAGGTTTTGATCCTCGGAAGTGAGCACCTCCCCAGTCATCTCTTCTATGTCTTAGACCTTCTGTATTTGGACGTTTTTGTCTGGTGCATGGGCCTCTAAAGTCTGGGCCAACTGATTTACTCCAATCAGTTTCTTGGCCCTCCATATCTGGACCCCTGCTTTCAGGACCACGGTCTCTAAAGCCTGGGCCTCCTGGTAGTTGTCTGTCAGGCCCTGGGCCTGGTCCTCTAAAATCTGGACCTCTTGGACCTTTCCTATCAGGCCCTGGTCCCTCCATAACGGGAGGTCTTCTTTCTGCCTCAGAACCCCTAAACTGAGGGCCTCCCAGAAAGCCCCTGCTGTTGCTTGTTCCCTCCATATCAGGTCTGATTTCTGGCCCAGGTCCTCTGAAATTCGGACCTTCTGGACCTCTCCCCCCAGGTACTGGACCCTCTATATTTGGACCTGAATGCTGAAGCCCTGATCTCCTCATGTTTGGACCTCCTGACCCTCTCCTGTTGGGCCCTGGACCCTCCATACCAGAATCTGGTCTTTCTGGCCTTGGTCCCCTGATGTCTGGACCTCTCCTGTCAGGCCCTGGGCCATCAATATTTGAATTTCTACTTTCTGGCCTGGAGCCCCTGAAGTGTGGTCCTCCCTGTCCTCTAGTGTGAGATTCAGGACCTTCCATACCTGGACCAGTTTGTTCAGGCCCCAGTCCTATGAAGTCAGGCCCAGGACCCCTCATATATGGCCCTTCCCTGTCAGGACCTAGTCCACCTATGTTTTGATGTCCTGGCCCTCTCCTGTCAGGCCCTTGACCCTGCATAGGAGGACCTCTCCTTTCACACTCCGGCCCTCTTATGTCTGGACCAACTGGTCCTCTCCTGTCAGGCCCTTGACCCTGCATAGGAGGACCTCTCCTTTCACACTCCGGCCCTCTTATGTCTGGACCAACTTGTCCTCTCCTGTCAGGCCCTGGTCCATCCATGATCAGACCTCTCCTGTCAGGCCCTTGTCCCTGGAATTCTAGACCTCCTGGTCCTCTCCTGTCAGGCTCTTGAATGTCCATAATGTGACCTCTCCTTCCATAGCCTGGTCCTCTGAAATCTGGACCTCCTGGTCCTCTCCTGTCAGGCCCAGGACCCTCCATTGAAAATCCTCTGCTTTCAGGCCCCGGTCCCATGAAATCTGGACCTCCTGGTGCTCTCATGTCCGTCCCAGGACCCTCCATAATGGGACCTCTTCTTTCAGGTCCTGGTCCTCTGAAATCTGGACCTCCAGGTCCTCTCATGTCAGTCCCAGGACCCTCCATAATGGGACCTCTTATTTCAGGTCCTGGTCCTCTGAAATCTGGACCTCCTGGTGCTCTCATGTCTGTCCCAGGACCCTCCATAATGGGACCTCTTCTTTCAGGTCCTGGTCCTCTGAAATCTGGACCTCCAGGTCCTCTCATGTCAGTCCCAGGACCCTCCATAATGGGACCTCTTATTTCAGGTCCTGGTCCTCTGAAATCTGGACCTCCAGGTCCTCTCATGTCAGTCCCAGGACCCTCCATAATGGGACCTCTTATTTCAGGTCCTGGTCCTCTGAAATCTGGACCTCCAGGTCCTCTCATGTCAGTCCCAGGACCCTCCATAATGGGACCTCTTCTTTCAGGTCCTGGTCCTCTGAAATCTGGACCTCCAGGTCCCTCAATAATGGGACCTCTTCTTTCAGGTCCTGGTCCTCTGAAATCTGGACCTCCAGGTCCTCTATTGTCATGCCCAGGACGTTCCATAGTTAAGCCTGTGCTTTCAGGCCCTGGTCCCCTGAAATCTGGACCTCCCGCTCCTCTAACATCAGTCCCAGGACCCTCTATAGCAGGACCTCTCCTATCAGGTCCTGGTCCTCTGAAATCCAAACCTCCAGGTTCTCTTCTAGTAAGCCCAGGACCCTCTATAGCAGGACCTCTCCTATCAGATCCTGGTCCTCTAAATCCTGGACCACCCGGTCCTCTAATGTCAGTCCCAGGACCCTCTATAGCAGGACCTCTCCTATCAGGTCCTGGTCCTTTGAAATCCAGACCTCCAGGTTCTCTTCTAGCAAGCCCAGGACCCTCCATAGATAAACCTCTCCTTTCGGGCCCTGGTTGACGGAAATCTGGACCCACTGGTCCTCTCCTGTTAGGCCCAGGACCCTCCATATGTAGACCTCTTCTTTCATGGCCTGGTCCCACAAAGTCCGGACCCCCTGTTCCTCTCATGCCAGGTCCTAGATTGTCATTAGTTGGACCTGTCCATTCAGGCTCTGGTCTCCTGAAGTCTAGACCTCCTGGTCCTCTCTTGTCAGGCTCTTGAATGTTCATAGTGTGACCTCTCCTTTCAGGTCCAGGTCCCATGAAATCTGGGCCTCCTGGTCCTCTACTGTCATGCATTAGGACCTCCATATCAGAACCTCTCCTTTCAGGTCCTGGTCCCATTAAATCTGGACCTCCTGGTCCTCCCCTGTCATGCATTGGGCTCTCCATATCAGGTCCTCTCCTGTCAGGCCCTGGACCAACCATATTATGACCCCTCCTTTCAGGCCATGGTCTCCTGAAATCTGGACCTACTGGTCCTCTCCTGTTAGGCCCAGATACTTCCATAGGTAGACCTCTCCTTTCATGGCCTGGTCCAACAAAGTCTGGTCCTCCTGTTCCTCTCATGCCAGGTCCTAGATTGTCATTATTTGGACCTCTCCTTTCAGGTCCTGGTCCCATGAAATCTGGACCTCCTAAACCTCTCCTGTCATGCTGTGGCACCTCCATACCAGGTCCTCTCTTTAACGGTCCCGGTGCCATGAAATCCGGACCCTCTGGTCCTCTCCTGTCATGCCTCGTGTCCTCCATGTTTGGACCTCTCCTGTCAGGCTGATGGACTCTGCATTCATCTGGCCCTTGCCAGTCATCTCTCACATCTGATCCTGGGCCGCTCCAATCTGTATCACTCATATGCAGACCCCTACCTTTATTTTGACTCCTCTGATCCCTCATATCAGGACCAATAAGACCTGGTCCTGGACCTCTCCAATCTGAATTTGTAATGTTTGGCATGGGACCTCTGTCTTCTTGGCCCACTTGTTCATTTCTCCTCTCTTGCCATAGACCCTGTATATTTCTTCCTTGCACATCTGCATCTCTCCTATTTGAACCTGTTCCTCCAATTTCTCTGCCTGAACTCCTGGTATGTGACTCACTTCTATCCCCCCTTGTATCTGAGGTACCCATACTACTCATATCTTGACAAGGCCCCATATAACTTCTTTCTGTCATATCTGGCTTTCTTATTTCATGCATAGTTTCTGATTCTCTCATGTCAGGGCACACACTCCTTTCAGCTCTTATATCTGGCCGTGGTTCCTTGAAATGTTCTCTAGGCCCACAACTGTCTCGTCCAGTGCAGGACCTGGTAGACCCACTTTCAGAATTTATGTTTGGCCCTGGTCCTCTCATGGGTACACCTCGCCCTCTTTGTGGTCCCCGCCTTTCATCTGTCATTGCTGGGCATATTCTATCTGCTCTTAGAACTGTACCCTTTGAACCTGCATTTGAATCTAAACTCTTTTCTCGACCACCACCCAACCTGCTCATTTCGGCATCTCTTCCTTGTGGCTGAAACCCCTTTTTCAGAAGGCCCCTTTCCTCTAAAACTGGACTGCCATCATGCCATGACTGCCTCTGAACTCTTCCTGAGCCCCTATAAGATGGACTTGCATTTCTTATATCAGGACTTCTGGGATCTATTATACCTCCACCTCTCCTAGCAGATCTCATATCCCCAGTGTGTGGACTAACACCTCTATCTTTTTGGCTATCTGACGAAGGGCCCTTCATGACTGGATCTCTCTTCTCATTCTGTAGGCCTGATCCTCCCATACGTGTATTGGTAACAGTTGGTACTGGGTTTGCGCTTTGCATACAAGAGGTTTCCATATCTTGCATAGAACCAATTCTATCAGTATAGTGATGTTTAACACCCACTTCTCTCATATTTGGCTCTAAAACCTGCATCCCTGTCCCTGGGGTCCCCACATATTTCCCTTGATGGCTTATTGCGAGGTCTTGTATGTGTGGTCCAGGAACCCAGTTGCTGGGGTTTATGTCTTGCATGCCTGGACCTCTCACATCAGCCCCTGAGAATCTAATTCCTGTTTCTCTTAGATGTGTCTGTGGTTCCCTGTGTCCAGGTTTTTTCATATCTGGTCCTGCATTTCTGTTACCTGGACCACTCATACGAGGTCTTGAATGCTTTGTCACAGGGTCTATTTTAGGTCCTGAGCCCTCAATATCTGAGCCTATAGGTGGATTTGAATGTCCTACCCCATAACCCAGTATTTCTGGGTGCTTTAAGCATGGATATTCCCCTTCTATCCTTTTGTCTGCCTCTATCATACTTTGATCACTGACACCTGGACCCTGTAGATCACAGGTTCTAAAGTCTGCATTTCTAACATTTGATGTGGGAGTTCCAACAGTAGGCCACAATATATTGGACATTGTTGATTGAACATCAATAGGCAGGCAATTACTTTCAATTTTAACAAGTGGCATTGAGACACTGGTCACAGGATCTGTGTTTTCCTCAATCTTAAGATAGTCACTATTTTCTATGTTGCTCGGTTTCATAAACTGTGGCTCTGGATCAGGGCTCTGAGGAGAATCTCGAATGGGTGGATCAATTTCTCTTAGAGGAATTGCACTATCAATTTTGCTATTAAGCAGAGTTTCCTGTGGAGAGGGTTTATCCACTTGGGTAGAAGAATCTTTATGTGTGTCATCATGGTCGCTGATTGAATTTTGAAGCTCTTCAGATTTTGGTGGTTCTGACATCTCAACCTTCACATTGTGAAGAAGTTCATGTGCACAGAGTGAAAAGTCTTTATCAGAGTTCTCAACCTTTTCATCAAGATTAAATTCTAATTGATCAGGGTCATTTTTAATGGCAACCAAGGTAGATGAGTTCTCATGGACTTGAGGGGAAGAATCTCTGTGCTGTTTTGGTGAAAGGGACATAGAATCTTTTCTTGTAGGAGATGATGGGGATCTTCTATGGCCACGAGAATGCCGGCGCGCAGTATGCTCCTTACGATGGCGACCCTGACGTTCAGAATGGTCTCTAGCTCTATGCCTGGACCTTTCCCTTTCACTTCTTCTGTGTCTATCCCTTTCTCTACGTCTCTGGGAATGTGAAGGAGAACGGTGCTGTGACTTTCTTGAAGGACTTCTATGACGGTCCCTTTCACGATGAGCCCGCCTCTTTGGTGACAGTCTTCGCTTTCTGCTGTGGTGTGAATTCAGAGGAGTGCCCATGCGGCTGGCACTATGCCCTGTTCTAGACAAAAATGAATCACAAGTCTTTACACTGCTTCCTTGAAATACATCCTCTTGAATTTCATTAAAAAGTGATTCATCCTCAGGATCATAAGCTACATCAGAATCTTCAATCTCTCCTGCAGAGGAATATTTGTCACTTTCCTTAACATTTTCCTGCGTTTCTTCTTGTTCTGTAACAGTTTCTCCATCATTTTTTAAATTAGGGATGGCAGTTGTGTCTTCTAGCGTAACAGTTTGTGAATCCACATTTGAACTGTCCACAGTCTCTGTAAGGTCGGTCTTGTCTGTTGACTCTGTTTGCATTATGCCACTCTGCACAGATGACAGTTGACTGGCAGGCAAAGATTTTGGTGGGGGAGACATCAGAGAATCAGAAACAGAAAAGTGAGCCATGAACATACCCACAGCCTCTCTCTGTTGGCGTAGTGCCTCTTCCTGCTCCTTCAACTGCCGTTTTTGCTCTTCAATTTGCTTATTGAGCTCCTCAAGCATCCGCTGTTGTTCAGTTAGTGTTGCAGCTGAGACAACCACAGTGCCTATAGGAAGGTTCTGAGTTACTTCAGCTGTGGAAGAAGTTTGTGATAGAGTGGGAGTGGGAGCTGGTGTAACTGCCTGGGTGGAAACTGGGGTTGGGGATGACAGAGAATCTGACAATTGAGATGGAACAGGGGGCTTTGTTACAATATCACCTTGAATATCTGCAAAGATAGTCTCGTCCTCTGGATCATAGGCCACGTCATCGTCTACAAACTCTGATTCTGCAGGGCCAACCGGCTTAATTTTTTCTATGCTGTGCGGAGCCACCATTCCATATCCCATTGCTGGATCATATTCCTCTTCTGGGTCGTATGGTCGGTCAAAGTCGTTTTCCTCCTCTTCTATTTTTTTGACTTTGGATTTCTGTCCATACTGTTGGACAATTGGGTCCACCATTGATCCAGACACCTGAGAAAACACAGGACGCTTCCTAACACTCCTGGTAACTGTTGTTGCAGAACTTCCATCAGAGGAGATGGAGTCAGTTTGCTTCTTGCCAAACAAACTCTTCAAGATAGTCTGCAGCGGTGTCTTAACACTGGATGCTGGTGTGGGATTCTTGTCAGAAACGTTATCAGAGGTGGACTGAGTGGTAGCAACAGCGGCTGAGGTAGAAACTGGAGGATTTGCTTTAACTGAAGTCAAAAGAGATGGTATGGTGACTGAGCCAGAAGAGGAAGACTCTGATGGTGACCCAGGACAAGTTGGTGAATCAGGAGGCGTGGTGTTAGCAGGAGTCTCTGGGTCATATGGTTGAAATATCTCTAATTTGTCAGAACCATACAGGACTGGAGGTTTTGGGATCCACATTGGGTCTTTGGACATATGAACTTTGGGTCTCTTCTCTTCAATATCCTGAGGCAAACTTCCTGGACGTTTTGCCTTCTGAATGATAGCCAGACCCAGAAGAAGATTAGGCCGTTTTTTTTCAAGCCCTGTGGAAAAAAAACAAAAAGTAAATAAATCATACAAATAAACATAAATAAATCATTAGAACAAGTTTACAATTGGCTTTATAGTTTCTCTAAATTGTTAACTTACAATTTTGGTCAAAAAGTTCAGAAAATTATACAGATTCACAAAATATATGGGTATTGGTCCAGGAGTGTTCATTGGGGCTGAAACCACTAATTGATTTATTTAAAACACCAATAATTAAAAAAACAAATGTTCTACAAGCCGACTTGACACCAAAACTACAGGAGGAAATTAAAACCACAATTGGACCTTAAAACTCATAATTAACGAATTTATAATACAGTTTCCTAAAGTAAAAACTGGAAACATTTAGGCAATATGCCGTTTGTAAATAAACAAATGTCACATAATTTTAATGGAACAACTTGTCTAAAATCATTACCTGCACATTAAATACTTTAATCTAATTCCATTTTGACATTTTATAGAAGGGACTTTGTTACTTTGTCAATAGAGATGTAAGTAAGAGATGGTGTTATGGCATTTGTATATCATAAAACAGGTGAAAGATTATTCATTTAGTGAGATATTGCAGCTCAAATATAAGCTTTTACTGTTGAGCATCGGAGGTGTTAATATAGGCCCTGGCCCATTATATCATTCACTCATTATATAAGACTGTTAGTTGAAGCATTATCACACCTGGTCCTTCAAGTGGTTGTAGTATGGATGGGATTGATTCCTTTGCACTGAGTGGGACAAGGTATAAATCCTTGATAGAACGGCTGCTATTGGCGACCACACCAAAACGACCTCTGCTGCTGAAATAGGAAAATAGGGAGACATAGGCCACCTCTTCCTCCTCCGTTGCTGGGTGAAACCGGATCACACATAACTCCTAATAAGCAAAAAACAAACAAAAGAAGATTTAAAATATTGATAGATTTTCAATATTATTGTACAAGACACAAATAAAAACTATATTTACTGCTTGCCTTTGTAAGAGAGGTCTTTAGTTGTGCAACATAGTCCCACACTGTCTGAGGCATGATTCGTCCTCCAATTTGTATGGTATCAGGTAGATCCTACACACAAGAAAAACTGTTCATACCTTCAGTTGAATTAATTACATTGACAGATCTTTTTAATACAGTTTAAAAAATATTATTGCGCAGTACTATACCGCTTTGAGATTTTCAGCAGATCCTGAAACCAGATATCCTTTGGTGACAAACTTTGCTACATTGAGCATATTAAGGAATCCTTTCCACACTATGTCTTCCTTAGCCAAGAACTGAGCAGTCCCACTTTCAGCCGGGGATTCAGAGATCACGGTCCTGTGACACAAACCACAACAACACAGTGACAATCATATCCACACATTATGCTGACTTTGCTATATACTACATAAAACAGAATAAAATAGAATAATTCTCTTTTATTCTATGTGCTTCAAGTTGGCACAGTTATTTAAATACCTTAAAGATGTGCCATAGAGTCTGGGATCAGCCATAGAAGATGGTTTCATTAAGATAGATTTAGGTAATGTTTTTGTTGGTGGTAGTGAGGAGGCTAATGCGGATGGTGAGGCCGATTTAGTTTCTTTAAGAGGAGCGTACTGGGCGGATTGGTTATGGGTTGTGTTACTTGGACCAGAGGTGCCACTAGACGAAGCAGAGAACCTGCTTGCAGCAGTGCGGGGATCACGCCTTGAGATGGTTACTGTGGAGACAGCTGGAATCACAACTGGTGTATACGCTCTCTTTGTGGTAGTAGCATTAGGAATGTCTGGAGTTGGGGACGCAGGGGACTCAATGACAGGAGAAGCTGGAGACTCTAAAGTAGGTGAGGCTGGAGAATCCATTATGGGGGAAGCAGGGGATTCCACTATAGTCAATACTGGAGAGTCAATGGTAAGGCGGGATGAAGGATCCATTAGGAAGGATGTTGGTGAATCCATGTCAGGTGAGTCAGGTGGTGCCCGCAGAGGAGAGTCATCTCCTGCAGGCCTTCTCCAAGAGGGTTCATATTTATCTCTTGCTTCAGAAACCTTGGGTTTTTTCTTTGTGGGCTCCTCCTCGTCTCCAGCTAGTATTTGGCCTTTGGAAAAGAAAAAGAATCCACATTGAAAAACTAAAATTAACAATGGGTGGTCATAGGATAATGTAATATGTATATTATGTATTGCACATCTATGGTAAAAAAAAATTTAATTCACCTGTGCATATCTTGCATTTCAGGTCAAAGAGGTGAGCTTTGTGCTCTGATGTTGTGTCCTTAAGCATACAGGCGAGGATATCTGGTACAGCAATGCTTGGTTGGCTTGTTCTGGTCTTGAGAGCAGGAGCAGGAAGACTTTTCTTCTGTTCCTGGGAAACAAAATATACCAACACAAGGCACAAAAACAATGAGACTTACAAAGCTATCATAACACTCATAGCCTTTCACGGGAAAAGTTTATATGGAGCAGGACAGACAATGCAATGACCATGTAAACATTTTTAATTCCACCAACTGAATGCAAATGCAGCAAGTACACACCGTGCTTCTATCCGGTCTAGCGGGATTCAAACTGGGCAAATCAACCTTCACTGCTTCAGGCTTCGGCAGCAAACTTGTCACTTGAGCAGTTGTATCCTTAACCTAGATACATACAAGCAATGGAAGAAGATAATTACCTCTGACACAAACACTGTTTGACTTTCTGAGGCCTGATAATACAGAAATTCTGCGAGGCAAGTGGAAAAAAAGATTCTGATGATCCATTTTCTTTGTTTAATCTAAATTGTATTTTCTCCTGTGTTTATGACTTCAGAACAGGTGAACAGTATACTGCTGGCAGTAGGGAAAAAGGCTCTGACAAGATGGATGATGAATGTTGGACTGACCATAAATAACTGGATAGATGTTACAATGGAGATTTACATGATGGACAGGGTTACATTTTCCTTGAACTTAAAGATGGATATCTTCATATAGCACTGCAATTTATCAAACTGTCAGACAATTGTGTGAAGCCAACCAGCTAAAAACATTTTTTATATATTTAGTTTATGTGTTTATTTGTTCCCCTTTACCTTTCCCTCTCCGGATGTATATAGTTATGTCTCTCTTTTTTCATAGCTACCCCTTCAAAATGAAAGGAAAGACTCTGGACCAATCTAAATGACAATTAGGTTGAGAAACTATATCAATGGTACAAGATATTTTCTTACTCCTGATTTATTTGTATTACTATTACTCAGGTTTTGAATGAACCCTTTCTCTTACTGCTTATATACTCATTTGTATTGTTATTTTGGATGTAATAACGTTGCTTTTTGTGAATGTTTGTGAATTGAAAAGAGTCAAAGTTCTGCCAGGATTATCAGTGCTGTGTTAAATTACTTAGATTTTTTTTTATTCTGTAAAATTAAGGAATTTAGATTACTTTTGCGACTTTTTTTCTACCCGTTCTTAAGTCCGTTTTTTTTTTCTCACTTGCCTCTCAGGACTTCGTATTGATAACAAGTTCAAGCATAATATCTGATGTTGTCTTTTCTTTTGTTGTGTTTACACTTTACCTCTGTTGTTTCTTTTGCATTTGGCTCTGATGCCTTGGTAGCTTGCATGTCCTTCTGGCTCATCCTAGCCAGTCTGAACGAACTGATCTCTCCACGTACAACCCGATACAACAAGCCCTTGAGAGAACCAATAATTGGACTGTCAGTTTGCTAAAAACATAAATAACTATGATTTGCTCCTAAAAAAAAAAAACACACAATAAAATTTTTTGCAATATTGATTCAAATGTATGGTTACAGAAATGGGTTTATCAATGTAACACAAACCTTGTTTCTTGGGTCTTTCAGGTTGAACATTATAGTTCTGTACTTGTTCATGTATTTGCTGTCTGTGTTGCGAAATATGTCGAACATCTCCATCTCAATGCTCGCGACAAGCTTTGCAACTTCACTCTCAGACATCTCCAAGTCCTCACAATCACACACCCTTGAAAAATAAAAAGGCAGTTAGTCAACAAATTTGTTGTGCATCACTGCTTTAAAAGATTGGGATGCAAATTTAACACTTTTATTGTAAAAGTGCAAAAGCCAAAAACATGTTCCTGGAGTCTATAGTGATTAAGTTAATCTAAAGTTAATCGATTTTTGTGAAGGATAGCTGATTTTACCCACGGATAAAATATTTAATATGAAGATCATCCTACTTACAAAATGTGTATTCTTTACGAAAACTCCACTGAAATTTAGATGACTGACTGTTATAATAAAAACCTTAAAAACGTAATGAAGTAAAAGGCGGTGAATTTATTTTTCCCCATATGCTGTAGGTTAAATGATGCTATTGCATGCCCATCAGATCATGTCCATGTTGTTTTTAAACATGCTTGAAGGTATGGGCGTTCACTTTTTGGCTTCTTCCACCATCACTTTGCATTTTGAATGCACAAGTCAGATTCATCAAGAGTATAGTATGTGTACATGAGATCATACAACCCTGTGTAACAGTTCTCACCTTTTGAACAGGATGCTGGTGAGGGAGCGCTGGATGCTCTGTCTGACCTGGTTATTGGGCTGAGATGGTCTAGAGGAGGGAGCACTGGGTGCTGGTGGCACCAACAGGTTTCTGGTTTCATTTAGCAGCATGGGGGCTGAAGAAGGCTTCTGGCATGATGCTGAAGCTGACATGTGGCTGGACGGAGGTAGGGATGCAGACTGCTTCTTTGGTATGACATATGTGGTCTTAGTGACCATGAGGGCCCCTGTTTCATGATGTCTGGGAGCTGAGGTGGATGGGGATTGTGCAGCTGGAGACAGACTAGATTTTGCTAGGTTGGGTGGTATAGAGGGATCTGATTCTGTAGATTGCTGCTTAGACACACCACTGTTGATTGGCTCCTTTGCTTTTTGTTGAGAGTGGCTCTGTGGCGGGGCTGGCTTAGTGGCAGGCTGGGAAGAGGGAGCAGCATCTGTAGAGGTGTCTTCTGGAGATTGTTTTGAAGGAGCTGCAGCCTCAATGTCAGCCTCTACCTGTTTACTGTCCTTTTCAGCTGTTAGAAAAAAGAACAGCAAGGAATTTATGAATATGAAGAAGTCTATAAACTGTGACATAAACCAACATGTCACAAGAAATGTAAATCTGTGGCTCTCCATGAATAAAAACAATCCCCACCTAAAATGAACAGGGACTAACTAAGGTTTGTTTATAACATACATGTTTGTTCAGTTCATAAATTAAATGCTGACTTTCCATCTGCAAATATATATCTAATCAAACCTATAATTGATATGGTCAGATAAGGTAGATGCCAGATGACAGATGGGGCCTATAAAGCCTGGTGAGTTTATGATTGTAAAACTATTAGATAAAATTAGAGGCGAAATATGCCTTAAACAGTTTAAAGACATAATGTATGAACTAATGCCTCTTTTCCCCCCACATTATCACACTCCTCCTCTACCACACCTATAATATATTAAAATTATTAAATGTGCCCAAGTGCCTTTCCTCAGTTTGTTTACACAGATTAATAGATGTTTTCCATTAATAATAATAGCATGTCCTTAGATTAATGATTTTAAATGTTACCAAAGCCACACATGTTGTACTCTGAAGAGTGAGGACAGTGTTTCATATTAGGAAAGAGTTTGGCTCATTTACATTTATGACTACCCTGACACACTCTTGTATTTTGTTTTGTACAATAAGAAATATGTAAACATTATTTACACTTCTTTGTTACCTGCAAAATGCCTGGGTTACTTGCACTGAAGACTTAACAGTGCATTAACACACAGGATTAACACACAGACAAATCTTTCAAAATGCACTTAATTCATGGTTAAGTATAGTTTTCTGCTCCCTAAATCCCTCTATGCACATTTGCTATTTGAGGTATTGACCAAGAAATTACCGATACCTATTTTACTGTTACTGTACTGATATTTCTACAGAAATACTGGGATATTCATACACACGTTTTTGTGAATCCTACTTCTTTGATCCTGAGACTAAACTTAGGTTCTATTTAAATTGCACACTTCATTTCTTGAATCAAGATTTTATTGCAACCTTTTAAGCATCTTTCCCATCACTCTTTCACGCAGAGCCTCTTCCACTGCAAAGGACCCAAAGGACCCATCCCACCCTTCACACACACTGTTTGCCCTACTGCCATCAGGCTGAAGGTTTCGCAGCACCAGAACCAGCTCTATGATGTTCTGTAACAGCTTCTTCTCCCAAGCTGTTAGACTTTTAAAAACCCTGCTGCCCCCCACCACATAAGGACGACATATATTACAGATATTTATAGCACCATTGGAGCGCGGGAAACTAAATCTTGTTCCTGTGTACTCCTGTATGTGGAAATGACAAACTACATTAAACCTTGAACAATAAGTCATCGTTAATTAGGCTTCTTCAAACCTAATTACAAAAGAACATAATTTGTTGTAGATGCTCAATGAATAGTTTTGATGGGCAGCATATAAAATCATTTTCCCACAGTGATGGGACTTATGCGTGGTTTTCCGAAAGCACACCAGAAGTTGTTACTCAACTCCACCAGTGACCTTCAGTTTTAAAACACCAGTTGATCTACGTACAGTTCTTTGTGCAGTTTTTGTTTTATGTTTTTACTGTATGGACAATATGTTTAAAGTCCTCTTTGATCAATCAACCACTGTATTTAACCAGAGATACGAATATGTTTTATACATTTAAAGGTTTAGTTTCTGAACCTTCATCGTCGAAGTCCCACTGGAGATAATCAGATCAGACTGGGCCTTATGGTTGAACAATGAATAATTGCCTGGTTTTAATGGACAACATGAGATAACACAAAGCGTAAGAAAGAAACTTAGATACACTGAACCAAAGTAAGACCTGTAAAAGTTGTGTTGTATGGATTGGTAGCCCCATCCATCAGGATTTATGGTCAGATGGTGGTAAAGGCTGCTGTGGTGTGCAGTTAAAATTTACTCAAGTACTTAATTTATACATTAGGAGTATTTTCTTCTCCCTTTATATTTCTAAATGTTGTATTTTTGACTGCACAACAATTATTTGACAGATTTTGTCAATAGTTGTGTTACAAATTAAGATTTAAACTTCCATTCAAATGTGAGGATTTTCTGCTTTTTCATTTCATTTATTTTTTTTTTTTTAGGTTTGGGCTATCGGTCAGACAAACATTGTGAAGGTGTCACTTTGGGCTGAGTAATGTAATGGAGCATTTATCTCTATTTTTACAAACCAAACAATCAATTAATTACTTGAGAAAATACTTAATGGATTATTCCACGATGAAAATAATCATTAGTTGCAGGCCAAGAGGAAATAGTTAAAGATGACCTCCACCTCAACCAACTACAGCATAAAACTTTGCTTTTATATTAATCCACTAGTGATACTAATCAAATGATATAATATATAAATAGTATTACAGTCACAGGAGTATTTTTTCTGCATTTAGTGCTTTTACTTTTAATACTTTAACTACTTTAATACATTTTCCAGATTATCCTTAAATAATTTCACTGAAGTGTAATTTTCAATGTAAGACTTTTACTTATAATGGTGAATCTTTACAGTGTGGTATTGGTACTTTTACTTAAGTAAAGGACCTGAATAATTCCATCGCCGCTGTCCATCGGAACTATTTATGAGCAGCAAGAGTAACTCCAGTTCTGAGGTCAGAGGCTTGGTCAATATTAAGTGGCATGCATGTTTAAGGAGCAATCAGCGCACCCATGAAAAACTATAAAAACACAGGGAGAACAAGCATATATGAAGAAAAGCCTCAGAGGGGAAAGCTGGGATGTTTGGCTAACCACTGAGCCATTTGCTGTACATGAGCGTAGAGATGTTTAGAAGATGCCATAATTCAGTGTTGAACTTTATGGAGATGGAATGGGCAATGTGACATCTGTGGTGTGAGGTGTCCACTCCAAACCATCTGTTAATGTAGGTGATTGTAGAAGGAATATTTACAGTTTAGAATAGTGGGTTAAAAGTTGCCTCGTTTGCACTTTGTATCATGCCCAAAAGGCTACGTTAAATTAAGACAAATTCTGTACAGAAAACAACGGGAAAGAAACAAGGACACATCTTCCAACAGATAGTAAACACACTACATAGCTCAACAGGTTTGAAAACAGAAATAAAGTGAATGATGGTTTAATGCGTCTCCTGCAGATACTTCCCATTCTGCTTTGTGATGATGAAAGACAGGAAGACCAACTATGAATGAATGAATGAAAAACAGAATAAATGAACTAATGAATGAAGGAAAAAAGCAAGGAACAAATATGTAAGTGAGTCACTTTCGGTGTCCATTGTTAAGAACGAAGAATCTTTATTTGTGCAGGATGCTTCAGTGTGTGTGTGTGTGTGTGTGTGTGTGTGTGTGTGTGTGTGTGTGTCAAAGTTAGAAAGAAACAAGAGCATTTGTTTTAGTAGGTTTGGTTTCGAGGTATGATGGGTATGAGGAAAATCCCAGCACACCTCTATCAATTGTTTGGAATACACGTATCTATGAAACTATGGTACATAATCGTACAATCAAGACAATCCCTTTTAAAAGTGATATTAAGATCAACTCAACTAGATCTTTAATATTCATGCAGTCCTCACAGGCTGACATGCAATTTCTTTTTCAGGGCATTCGTGATGGAGCTTCAGTGAAAGTTCAATAAGGAACACTTGGCCTTTATTCCTGTTGGTGGATTTCTGCATTTCCTCTCCTCTAACCTTCTGTCGAGGTCCCTACATTCAACATTCAGACGTCACCATGTCTAGCCAATGATCTTTACTGGACCCAATCAGGTCCTCAGGCGGCGTTCTTTAAATATCATAGTAATTCTGCCATTCAGTCTTTCAGACCAACCGCTGTGCAACCCACTGCCTCCCCATCAGCACCATTACCTCCAGGATGTTCCAGGAGATTCAACTGAGAGTTTCCATCAACCACCTGCTGGCTTTACTCCACCACCATCAGCATCCAGACTCCAGGGGATCCTGTCCTATCTCTTACCCTCACATAGGCCTATGATTAATGACGAAGCTTCACATCAACAGGGTCTATTCGCTAAAGGCTTTCTCTGTTGCTGACCTCAACACATACTAATATACACTTCCAATTTACTATATTCAATATACATATTATATGATGCAGCTTCTTTTCTTTTTTAAAAAAAATGTGTATTTTTATATTCATAGGTATTTAGATTATTTTGTATGTGTGTGTAAAGTATTGCCACTTCTTATCTTAAACAGCTATATATTTTATTTATCCATTTACTATTTTATATGATTACACCTGTATATGCAGTTATAATTGTCTTCCGTTTGTTCATGTTCAGTTTCTAAAAAAAAGTGTACTTTTACTTTTGGTATTTTTTAATTTAAATGCTTTTGTATTTTTATTTAAGTAGAAGATCTGAGTACTTCTTCCACCACTGCTCTATTTAGCATTGTATATTTAGTGAGATCACACTCAACTAAAAACATTATCCCTACATCATGTAATATTTATTTTAGCACTGTTTTCTTTTCCTGTTTTTCGTAGCCAATCTTCTACTCTATAAAAGTCCTCCACCCTACTGAGAACAACAGTTTATGTTAGAAGCTATCTTAAGGGCTACGATGGTTCAGTCAATTTCCTCAAATTTACTCTTATTTTTAGAGGGAAATTCTAAAGAAAAACTCACAGAATGTCATCACTATGATTAAGGACTACAGCCTTACAGTCCTTTTCTGTTGACTATAGGTACTTTGCCTGATTTTGTTCAGCCACACGATAATAGAAATTCAGTCTCTTTCAAGGTATTAACAAATCAAAATCAACAAATCAAAACATTTCACTTAGTTCTTTCTTATCTGTAATATACATTTTTACAAGCCCCCCTTTGCACAAAGCTAAACTTAACACTTCAGCAGATGATGAATTTGCCTGAATCAAACTCACAAGTGATTACTGTCATGGATCTACACCTCCACTCAAAGTATATACTTTATAATCACTGTACGAACCATCATGAAACAATGACC